CTCATAGCTGCGTTCAAGCATCATCAGCATTGGCCAGCTAGATGAGCATGGTAGCAAGGTACTGATCAAGGATGGAGTCCTTAGGATCAGGGAACGGGAGCAGTGACTTCTTGCCAAGGTAAAGAGGTCCTAGAACTTGTTATACCTGCTCGACTTAAAGGTGGAGCAGCTGGTGTGCCTGGCGGCATGGCACTCTGAGGAGCCATGGCTGTGGCATGCCTGGTTCAGACATCTCAGCTTCGACGCGCTTAGTCGGCTAGAGAAGACGGTCCGAGGGCTGCCTCACATCAAGCACAGAGGCGAGCTGTGTGACAGCTGTCTGGCCAGGAAGCAGAGGAGGCTACCATTCCCAAAGGTGGCCAAGTTTCGCACGGTGGACGCTCTCGAGCTCGTCCACAGCGATCTCTGTGGGCCAATCACGCCAGCCACAAATGGTGATCGGCGGTACTTCCTCCTACTCATGGATGATTGTAGCTGCTACATGTGGCTGCAACTCCTGACGAGGAAGGACAAAGCTGCGGCGGCAATCAAGAAGTTCAAGATGCGTGCGGAGGCCGAGAGCGGCAAGAAGCTACGCGTGCTGAGGATAGATCTCGATGGCGAATTCACTTCGGTGGAGTTTGCTGCGTACTACGTGGATCAGGGTGTGGTGCGACATCACACCGTGCCGTACTCACCATAGCAGAATGGCATGGTGGAAAGGCGGAACCAGACGGTGGTCGGCATGGCTTGATCCATGATGAAGGCAAAGGGCATGCCGGCAAGCTTCTGGGGTGAGGCGGTGACCACGGTTATGTTCATCCTCAACCACGCGCCCACCATGGCCCTAAAGGGCAAGATGCCATTTGAAGCTTGGTATGGGCACAAGCCGAGCGTGTCCTTCCTTCGGACATTCAGCTAGATCAGCCACATTAGGAAGATGAAGCCGATCCTCACCAAGCTGGAGGACAGGAGCACACCGATGGTGTTCCTAGGCTACGCGAAGGGTACCAAGGCGTACCGGCTCTACAACCCACGTGGAGGCAAGGTGCTTGTCTCGCACGATGTCATGTTCAATGAGAAGGTGGCCTAGGACTAGAATAGTCCGAGTAGGGGGGAAGCTGGCGGCTTCACTAGCACCTTCATCGTCGAACACTTGGTCATCCACGGTGGTGGAGACGCTGGAGAAGAGGTGTCGAGCACTCCAGCGATAGAGCCAAGCACTCCTAGGGAGGTGCCGAGCATTCTGGGAGGGGTGCCGAGCACTCTAGGAGTGGAGCCAGGAGGTCCTGCAGTGGTGTCGACCACTCTAGGATGGGTCCCGAACACTCCTATAGCGGAGCCGAGCACTGCAAGACTAGTGCCGAGCACTCCGGGAGGGGTGCAGACCACTCTAGGAGTGGTGACGAGCAGTCCTGGAGTAGTGCCGAGCACTGCATTCGGGGTGCTGAGCACTCCAGGTGTTGTGCCGATCACTCTGGCGGAACAAGGAACTCCATCAACGCCAGTCGAGTACGCCTCACCTCCAAGTGACATCACTGAGTTCGTGGATGTCTTCCACGAACATGAGGAGGTGCGGTTCCATAGGCTAGACAACATCATCAGCGGCACAGGGCCCTCAGGCCTGGTAGGTAGGCTGCTCAATGACCCAAAGCTGCTTCTCATCAGTGCAGAGGAACCACCCACGTTCGTGCTGGCCGAGCGCGATGGAAATTGGCGATGAGCGATGCTAGAGGAGATGAAGGCGATTGAGGAAAATGATACTTGGGAGCTCATCGATCCACCTCCAAGATGTCGTCCGATCGGCTTGAAGTGGGTGTACAAAGTCAAGCGGGACGAGCACAGCGCCATTGTCAAGCACAAGGCGCGTCTCGTCGCCCGAGGCTTTGTTCAGCGCGATGGCATCGACTTCGAGGAAGTCTTTGCATCGGTAGTGCACATGGAGTCTGTTCGTTTGCTACTAGCTTTGGCAGCAGCAAAGGACTAGCACGTCCATCACCTGGATGTAAAATTGGCCATCCTCAATGGTGAGTTGGCGGAGACGGTCTTCGTCAGACAACCTCCGAGTTTCACCGTCAAGGGAGCGGAGCACAAGGTGCTCCAACTGCGCAAGGCGCTCTATGAGCTGTGGCAAGCCCCATGAGCGTGGAACGCCAAACTTGATGCCACACTAGGTGAGCTTGGGTTCACGAGGTGCGCAACCGAGCACGCACTCTACATGCGGCGACGGGGGAAGGAGGAGCTCGTCGTCGGCATTTATGTGGATGACTTAATTGTCATCGGTGCGCGTGCGGAGGACATCGACAGCTTCAAGCGTGAGATGGCAGCTCATTTTTGAATGAGTGATCTCAGCGCACTCTCCTACTACCTCGGCATCGAGGTGAGACATGGGAAGGAGGCACTCACGCTCGATCAAAGCGTGTATGCCTTGAAGCTGTTGGAGCGGAGCGGCATGGCTGAGTGCAAGCGGTGCGTGACTCCGATGGAGGAGCGACTGAAGCTGATGAAGGCTAGTATCACGGCGAAGGTAGATGCAACACTCTACTAGAGCATCGTCGGTGGTCTATGCTACCTAGTTCACACGAGGTTGGACATTGCGTTCACTGTGGGATCCGTCAGTCTCTTCATGGAGGATCCCAGAGAGGATCACTGGGCTGCGGTGAAGCGACTACTGCGCTACGTCAAGGGGATGGTGGATCAGGGGATCGTCTTCCCTGAGACCAGCAGAAGTAGTATGCAGCTCACTGTGTTTAGTGATGCAGACATGGCGGGGGACATCGACAGACGGCGGAGCACCTCTGGCATGCTTGTCTTCCTCGGGTCGGCTCCAATCTCATGGTTGTCACTAAAACAAAAGGTGGGGGTGCTATCTATGTGCGAGGCATAGTATGTAGCAGCGGCCATAGCGGCGTGCCAAGCTGTGTGGCTGCGCCGGCTGCTGGGCGAGCTGACCAGTGTGAAAGCTCACCCACTAGCACTGATGGTGGACAATTAGCCCACCATCGCCCTCGCAAAAATTTTGGTTCTCCTTGACCAAAGCAAGCACATCAACATGAAGTTCCACTTCCTCAGGGACTATGTCGATAGAGGGCAGATCATCATCGAGTTCGTCAAAACTAGTCGGCAACTCACGGACGTCCTCACCAAGCCGCTCGGCCATCTTCGGTTCACGGAGCTGAAGGAGATGATCGGCATGGAGGTGGTTTAAGGGTTAGTAGTAGGATTAGGGGAACAATTGTTGAATAATCTACTGCTTCCTTGTGTGAACACACGGCAGGGGAAGGCGGCGCCATTGGGCACGGGAGTGCCCAAATCGCAAGCAGGAGAAGGCTGAAGCTCATCTAGCGTAAGCTGACGATGATGATGAGGCCACTATCCTGATGGTGATGTTCTGTGCACTACATGATGTCGAGGCCAAGGAGAAGGGAGAGGTGATGGCAGTGAAAGGCCCTGGGAAGGCCCTGAAGGCTGTCAACCTCGATGAACCGCGGGCCCAAGTCCACCTTGGATGTGTGGGCGGTGAGCAGGAGCAGCGGTGGTATGTAGACTCTGGCGCCAGCAACCACATGATGGGCTCTAAGGCAGCCTTCTCCGAGCTCGACGATGATGTGACCGGTATGGTGAAGTTCGGTGACGGCTCGAGGGTGGCAATCCATGGGCGTGGCACCATCATCTTTAGGTGCCAGAACGGTGAGCACCATGCACTAACGGATGTATATTACATCCCACAGCTGCGTTCAAGCATCATCAGCATTGGCCAGCTGAATGAGCGCGGTAGCGAGGTACTGATCAAGGACGAAGTCCTCAGGATCAGGGACCGGGAGCAGCGACTTCTTGCCAAGGTAAAAAGGTCCCAAAGCCGGTTTCACCTGCTCGACTTAAAGGTGGAGCAGCCGGTGTGCCTGGCAGCATGGCACTCTGAGGAGCCGTGGCTATGGCATGCCCAGTTCTGACATCTTAGCTTCGACGTGCTTGGTCAGCTGGAGAAGATGGTCCGAGGGATGCCTCACATCGAGCACAGAGGCGAGCCGTGTGTCAACTGCCTGGCCGGGAAGCAGAGGAGGCTATTGTTCCCAATGATGGCTAAGTTTCGCTTCCCGATTAGGCAGCTGTCACACAACTCACCTCTGGGCTCGATGTGAGGCAGCCCTTGGACCATCTTCTCTAGCCGACCAAGTGCGTCGAAGCTAAGATGTCCAAACCGGGCATGCCATAGCCATGGCTCCTCGGAGTGCCGTGCCGCCAGGCACACCAGCTGCTCTATCTTTAAGTTGAGCAGGTACAACCTGGCTCTGATACCATTTGTTAGCCCACTGGATGTCCGGTACGGGTGAGCCGACCACTCACCAGGATTGTCGACCATAGACTATCGTTGTCCGACCACATACTATGGCTAGAGGTAGAAGAAGGGAGGGAGAACAGAGCACACACACAGCATAAGCACCAGTGTTGGCCGGAACTCTACAGAGGAGATGATAAATTGAACTCGCTCTCTTTACTGAGTTGCAGTGGCAAACTATATATACAACTCTATCCACATAGTTATAGTACAACTGCCATGTTGCTACAGTGACTAGATGAGACAACAGGGTTGACTCTGGCGTCTGCTCCTGCTGTGGTGCGGCAGGTGAGCCGTTCGGTGCCTGCCCCTGTTGTGGCTACAGTACCATAGCAGGATACCTTTTCAGCTCCGCCTTCCCTTGCCATGTGTTCACACAAGGAAACAGTAGATTATTCAACACACACACGGTCTAGCATCACAAGGCTGCTGAGATTGTCGTCAAGAACGTCGTGCTTAACACGGTAGCCCTAAGCACGATCCTCGACGTGCTTCTTTTTCTCTCCCCTCAATATGTAGCATGGCACCTCCTACCCGTCATCGCTGCCTTTGCTGATGAGCTGCGCCATTTAGCCAGCAATAAGGCTCGTGTTGTTGCCGAGGGCGAACAAGTTGCTCGCACGCCAGAAGGCATTGAGCGCCACCATGGCGAGGCCGAGCATGCTGAAGGCGACAAAGATGGCTATGTTGAAACGGCCCAGCCATCCCACCAATGGGACACAGAGCCTCTGATAAGGAAGGCCGCCCAGGCGTACTGAGCGATGACCTCCACGGGGGCCCTGATCCTCTGGCCGTTGATGTGGACGTTGCTGCCGTCAGGCGATGCCACAGCTGCGGCGACAGTTGCCATGGCGACATCAGCATTGCACTTGATGGTGAGGATGAGCATGATCCACAGGAGAAGGGTCCACATGTTCTGGACGTCGGGGTTTTGCTTGCCAAACAGTGGCAGCATGCCGTCACACTTGGGCTCTGTGCTCCTATCCAGAAAGGAGCTGATGATGGAGGACGTCAGTGAGAGGAACACGGTGGAGGCACCCCACATGAAGGTACTATGAACCACTGGGTGGCGGTAGCGATGGCCATACATGCTGAGCGCCACCAGCAGCACGGCCAGAACTGCGGCGGTGACGATACTATTAGATAATCTACTGCTTCCTTGTGTGAATACACAGTAAGGGAAGGTGGCACTAAAAAGGCTCCTTGCCATGGTACTATAGCCGCTGTAGAGGCAGGCGCCGAATGGCTTACCTACCGTACTGTAGCCACATGTAGGGACAGGCGCATAAGTCAGTCCTACTGTGTTATCTAGTCACTGTTGCAGCATGGGAGCTGTACTAGGACTAGATGGATAGAGTTGTATATATAGTTTGCCACTACAACTCAACAAAGAGAGTTCAGATTTGCCATCTCCTATATAGGGCTCTAGCCAACGCTGGTACTTGTACTGTGTGTGTATGCTCTGTTCTCCCTCTTCTTCAACCTCTAGCCATAGTGTGTGTGGTCGGACAATGCTAGTTCGTGGTCGGCTTAGCTAGGGAGTGCTCGGCAACACTAGCAGGTGCTCGGTAAGACTGGTGAGTTGTCAACTCACCTGAGCCGGTGATCCTATGGGCCAACAAGTGGTATGAGAGCCATACAAACGCCATCGCCGGACTAACCACTGGCGATGATAAATGGTTCGGAGATGGGTGACAGCAGTGGCACTGCTGTGGCTACCCAGCCATGACCGGAGGTCGTTGTTCGCATGGTGCGGGAGGTCAGTGGCACCAGTTGGCTGACGCTGACTCGCACCAACTATGGAGAGTGGTCGGTGACCATGATGGTCAAGCTCAGAGCCTGACGGCTCTGGAATGCTATTGACAAGGGCACCGATAATGAGGAAGATGACATGTCAACATTGGAGGCTATCCTCACTGCTATACCAGTAGAGTACAGGAGCCGTTGGGGGCGAAGAGCTCGGCTAAGGAGGCATGGGAGGCTATTGTGGCGATGCGCGTCGGTTCCGACCGTGCAAAGAAGGCAATGGCCCAGCTTCTGAAGCAGGAGTATGCCAACCTCAAGTTCAAGGATGGTGAAATGGTGGACAACTTCTCCCTTCGCCTGTAGACGCTCATCAGCAAGCTGAAGAGCCACGGCATCACCATCGACGAAGAGGAGGCGGTCTCCAAGTACCTCCACTCTGTGTCAGCAAAGTACATCCAGATCGCTCTCTCTATAGAGATAATGCTGGACTTGTCCACCCTCACCATTGAGGATGAGACAGGCCGTCTACGGGCGGTGGACGAATGCCTAGAGCAGGCGACAGCAACGAAGGACAGCGACAAACTGCTACTGATAGAAGAGGAGTGGGCTGTTCAGAGGAACTTCGAGAAGGTAGCCTCCTCCAGCCGCGGTGGTGATGGCAAGCGCCGCGACAAGGCTTCTTTGGAGAAGAAGAAGCAGGTCGACCCCAACGCCTATCGGTGCTGTGGGAAGACGGCCATTAGGCACGGGACTGCCCAAATCACAAACAGGAGAAAAAGGCTAAGGCTCATCTGGCACAAGCTAATGATGATGATGAGGCCACTATCCTGATGGCGACGTTCTGTGCACCGTGCAACGTCGAGGCCGAGGAGAAGGAAGAGGCGACGATGGTGGAAGGACCTGGGAAGGCCCTGAAGGTTGTCAACCTTGATGAACCATGCGCCCAAGTCCACCTCATGTGTGGGCGCTGACCAGGAGCAGCGGTGGTACCTAGACTCTGGTGCCAGCAACCACATGACGAGCTCCAAGGCATCCTTCTCCGTGCTCGATGACAATGTTACCGGTATGGTGAAGTTTGGTGATGGCTCAAGGGTGGCAATCCAAGGGTGCAGCACCATCATCTTTAGGTGCCAGAACGGGGAGCACCACACGCTAACAGATGTATATTACATCCCACAGTTGCGTTCCAGCATCATCAACATTGGTCAGCTGGATGAGCACGGTAGTGAGGTACTGATCAAGGACGGAGTTCTTAGGATCAGGGACCGGGTGCAGCGACTTCTCACCTAGGTGAAGAGGTCCCTGAACCGGTTGTACCTGCTCGACCTGAACGTAGAGCAGCTGGTGTGTCTAGCGGCAAGGCACACCGAGCCGTGGCTGTGGCATGCCCGGTTCAGACATCTCAGCTTCGACGCGCTTGGTCGGCTGGAGAAGATGGTCTGAGGGCTACCCCACATCAAGCACAAAGGTGAGCTGTGTGACAGCTGCCTGGCCAGGAAGCAGAGGAGGCTACCATTCCCAAAGGTGACCAAGTATCGCGTGAAGGACGCTCTCGAGCTCGTCCATGGCGACCTCTGCGGGCCGATCATGCTAGCTACAAACGGTGGTCGGTAGTACTTCCTCTTTCTCGTAGAAGATTGCAGTCTCTACATGTGGCTGCAACTCCTGATGAGCATGGATGAAGTGGCGGCGGCGATCAAGAAGTTCAAGATGCGCGCGAAGGCCAAAAGCGAGAAGAAGCTCCGCATGCTGAGGATTGATCGCGGCGACGAATTCACTTCGGTGGAGTTCGCTGCGTACTGCGTAGATCAGGGTGTGGTGCGACACCACACCGTGCCATACTCACCACAATAGAATGGCATGGTGGAGAGGGGAACCAGACGGTGGTTGACATGGCTTGATCCATGATGAAGGCTAAAGGCATGCCAACAAGGTTCTAGGGTGAGGCGGTGAACACGACGGTGTTCATCCTCAACCGTGCTCCGACCAAGGCCCTGACGGGCAAGACGCCGTTCGAAGCTTGGTATGGGCGCAAGCCGAGCGTGTCCTTCCTCTGGACATTCAGCTGCATCGGCCACATCAAGAAGACGAAGCCGAACCTCACCAAGCTAGAGGATAGGAGCACACCGATAGTGTTCCTAGGCTACGTGAAGGGTACCAAGGCATACCAGCTCTACGACCCACGCGGTGACAAGGTGCTTGTCTCGCTCGATGTCATGTTCGACGAGAAGGCGGCTGGGACTGGAACAGTTCGAGCACGGGGGAAGCTGGCGGCTTCACCAGCACTTTCGTCATCGAGCACCTGGTCATCTAAAAGGTAATAATGGCTAGAGGGAGGTGAATAGCCTAATAAAAATTTCTACAACAACACTTAACAACACGGTTAGACAATTAAGAGGCGAAGCAAATATTGCGCTAGCCTACTCAAAATGCAAGCCACCTACCACAATTCTAGTTTAGATAGTATCTATTCACACAATAGCTATAACACTACCCTATGTTAGTGTGCTCTCAAAAGCTAACCAAAGAGCCACACCAACCAAGCAAGTAAGCTCTCACAACTAACTACACTAAAGAGCTTGACAACTAGTTTGCGGTAATGTAAAGAGAGTGATCAAGAAAGTTATACTGCCGTGTAGATGAAGGAACCAATCAATCACAAGGATGAATAACAATGAAGACCAATCACCTCAGAATCAATGATGAACATAATGATTTTTTTACCGAGGTTCACTTGCTTGCCGACAAGCTAGTCCTCGTTGTGGCGATTCATTCACTTATAGGTTTACGCGCTAATTGGCTTCACACGCCAAACCCTCAATAGGGTACCGCACAACCAACACAAGATGAGGATCACACAAGCCATGAGCAATCCACTAGAGTACCTTTTGGCGCTCCGCCGGGGAAAGGTCAAGAACCCCTCACAATCACCACGATCGGAGCTGGAGACAATCACCACCCTTCGCTCGACGATCCTCGCTGCTCCAAGCCATCTAGGTGGCGACAACCACCAAGAGTAACAAGCGAATCCCGCAGTGAAACACGAACACCAAGTGCCTCTAGATGCAAACACTCAAGCATTGCACTTGGATTCTCTCCTAATCTCACAAAGATGATGAATCAATGATGGAGATGAGTGGGAGGGCTTTGGCTAAGCTCACAAGGTTGCTATGTCAATGCAAATGGCCAAGAGAGTGAGCTTGAACCGACCATGGGGCTTAAATAGAAGCCCCCACGAAATAGAGCCGTTGTACCCCTTCACTGGGTACAGCGTGAGGTGACCGGACGCTCCGGTCCGATCGATCGGACGCTGGCCTTCAGCGTCCGGTCATGTGATTCACGCCACGTGTCCCCTGCTTCAAATACTATTCGCCTGATCCCAACGGTCAAGAGATGACCAGACGCGTCAGTTAGAAAATGACCGGACGCTGGACCTCAGCGTCCGATCATTTCCAGTAAGGTTCCAAACGTGGATTTTCACGACCGGACGCATCCGGTCATACCCGACCGGACGCGTCCGGTCATACCCGACCGGACTCACCCAGCGTCCGGTCACTCAACGTCTCCTCTGTGCGCCTTATGTCAGCATACATCAGCACTGATCGGACGCACCCTGCCAGCGTCCGGTCGTAGAGTGACCCAACGTCCGGTCATTTGATCGACGCCAGCGTCTTCGCTGTTACACCTGACTTGACGCGACGGTCCAACCGAGGCCAGCATCCGGTCACTTCCAATGACCTCCATCTTTTCTGTCTAGGGCGCCAGTGGCACCGTTCGGACTGTCCGCACTCTACGAGAGGACACTCCGCAGGTGGAGTTTCTTACCCTTGCTCCTAAACTTCACCACCCTTGATCAAATATGCCAACCACCAAGTGTATCACCTTGTGCACATGTGTTAGCATATTTTTCACAAACATTTTCAAGGGTGTTAGCACTCCACTAGATCCTAAATGCATATGTAATGAGTTAGGGCATCTAGTGGCACTTTGATAACCGCATTCCGATACGAGTTTCACCCCTCTTAATAGTACGGCTATCGATCCTAAATGTGATCACACTCACTAAGTGTCTTGATCACCAAAACAAAATGGCTCCTACAATTTATACCTTTGCCTTGAGCCTTTTGTTTTTCTCTTTCTTCTTTCCAAGTCCGAGCACTTGATCATCACCATGGCATCACCATCATCATGTTATGATCTTCATTTGCTTCACCACTTGGAGTGTGCTACCTATATCATGATCACTTGATAAACTAGGTTAGCACTTAGGGTTTCATCAATTCACCAAAACCAAATTAGAGCTTTCATCATCCATGGTGATGGAGACACTGGGGAAAAGGTGTC